GTGAAAGGTATAACAATACCTAAACTAGAATTGTTAGCTGTTTTAATTAGAGTACGAGCAACCAAATTCGTTATCAAACAACTGGAAATTGAAGAGGTAAGAGTAACATTATGGTCAGACTCGCGATGTGCACTCCAATGGATAAAAAATCGATCACGACTCTTACCAAGATTTATACAAAATCGAATCGATGAAATACGAATGTCAAATTTTTCATATAGATATGTGCCAAGCTTATCTAACCCTGCTGACATAGCAACAAAAGGATATATGTCTCCAGTTGAACTTGCAAATTTCGATCAGTGGTGGAACGGACCTCAATGGTTAAAATATGAAGAATCAGCATGGCCTCAATGGGAAAATAATATTTATTACGAACACGAAGAATATGAAACGGAAATCTGTTCGACAATAGTCACAACTAAGACCATCACAATCAGAAGGTTTCAGTTAATTGATGCAACTCGTATTAGTAAATGGACGAGACTACGAAGAACAGCAGCTTGGGCATTAAGATTTTTAAGATATATATCGAAGGGAAGATTCAAATGGTTGAAAGAAGTACCAAAAGAAACAGAATTAACATCATACGAACTAGCCGCAGCAACCAAAGCCTTAATTATACAAGCTCAATCGGAAGGTATCAATGATGAGGAAATAAACAAATGGAACCTTTATTATTGCGACAAACATTACATATGGAAATGCCGAAGCCGACTGGATAACACTAGTATAGGAATATATCCAGACAGTTTAAATCTATCTTCCAAGGCATATTCAATAACTAAGCTTCTTATACAACACCAACATGAAGATCTATGCCATGCAGGAATTGCTCATACATTATCAGAATTGAGAAGAAACTTCTGGACACCTAAAGGCAGAACTGAAGTAAAAAGCGTACTGAATAAGTGCATGGCTTGTAAAAGATGGAGAGCAAAACCATTCAAACTACCGGTAATGCCGAATGTACCAGAAACTCGAATCAAACGTACTCGGACGTTTGAACATGTTGGACT